AACATCGTTGGCTAATTTTCGATTGTTGCTGAGGAGGCTTTGAAGCTTGCTCTTAAGGTCGTATTGAAGTGCCTGAAAGTCAGGGTCATCGCTATAGCCGCCGCCGCCGCCGCCGCCGCGCCCGGATTCTAGATCGTACGACATGGTTGTTGTGATGGTGTAAGGTCAAAGGAAGAGTTGCGTGAATGGAGGTCCGGCCTTGACTATGGACTTCAGCCGGAAAAGTGGGTCTAGACAACCTAAGGTAATTGCTCCAGTAAGGTTTGGTTGGTAGACCTTCGGACTTTAATCCTAAGTAACACAAATACTGAAGGAACTCAGCCTAAGATTAGGGGACATTCAATGAGTTTGTTTGACAACTTCTTCTCATGATTGTCTAATAAAGCTTTGTTGTTCTGTTGCCTTGTTCCAGGTGGCTGATGGGGTTTCATTAGTACTTAGTTTCAGCGCCCTGCAAACATACGTAATTGGACATGCGCTCAGTCTAGCCTACCAGAACGCAGCCGGACCTAAGCTATCAGCACGTGACAGATAATGACGGAGCTTGGACCTTAGCGTTTCTGCGAGCAAGTCGTTGCTGCTTGGAGATTTTTATTATTTACTTGGGGCTTGAGCTTAGAGCTTCCATTGTTAGTCTCTCTTTGAACCAACCCACGACATCATCTCCCAACAACGTCTCGAGCTCTTCTTTATCCCGGGAATGCGCTGTCAAGATGGCGCCCACCACGGTTAGAAAAGCACCTTACAAGGACTTTCTGCAGCCTGCTCTTCACAGACGGTTCACTTCTACGGCGACTGTTTTGCTGCTTGTGTCCTACTTGCTGGCGGTCGTCCTGGACGGCTGGAAATCTTGTAAGTCGAATTCATTGACTTTTCATTTGCGCCGACACTAAATTTCATTATTCAGACTTTTGGTCTTGGTTTCCAATCGGCCCTGTTGGCGTACGAACCGCCTTCATCTTCACATGTGGCCTTGCGATCGTCGTTCTCCGAATAGCAAACTACCACGTCGGCCTACGAACCACTGGCCCCGGCTTCCAGACCCTTCGCAACACCATCACTCAGCTTCAAACATACGAGACTTTGTTTTGGTATGGCTTTTCCAGCCTGTTGTTTAGCCATGTGTTCCTGTGGGCAATGCCCAAGGCGGCAAACCTCTCTTGGATCACGTACTTCAGCTTTGACCGTGCGAGACTGAACGAGAGGCCCCTCTTCTTGCTTGCTTACATGGTTTCATGCGCCATAACTCAAACCTTCAACCATTACCGAAAGGACACCGATCGTCTGGTCCTCGCATCGTCAAAGCGCAAGAACGAGAAGCAGCCTGACGCGTTGAAGCTGCTGATTACTGCAGTCCCAGCAACATTCGGCGCTTCTCTTTCCGGCGCTGCTAGTGCGCTGCCTGTCACCTTGATTCTTTACTACACTATACTGCGATCGTTCATCTGGGGATGGGCGCTTATGTTCTTGCGCATCTTCTATAACCTGCCAAAGACCAACATGCTCCCGCCTAGTTGGCCGAGTGATCTTTGGCTTCTTTTCCGATGCATAGAGGCAGGGACTTTCGTGCATTTGATATGGAATATTGGTAACTTTGCTTTCTCAAAATTCATGGTCAAGGAGCCCCTGAAGAACGGCAAGCCTCTTACCTCCGAGTCCAAGGACCCCAATGGCAGTCTCCTGAACGGTCTCAAGAGCAAGAAACTTTCTATCAAGGTGAGATTTGTCACGCACGCATTCCATGGTCATTTCTAATCGTATCTAGGCATTCGCGATGTGGGAGCTTGCAATTATTGCGCAAGGATTTGAGACCCGTCGACAGGCTATCTACGAAGACATCGACCGCAAGGATGGACCTATGTGGTCCCAGGTTTGCGCCATCTGTATGGAAGTGATCAAATCCATCGAGACGCGAATTGATACCTACGGCAAGGCTCCTGATGCACCACCCGCTGCGCCGGCCCCGGAGCCCAAGCAGCGAGTATCTGCTGCTCTTCGCGACGATCCCATCTTCAACAATCCGGGGGCTTCCAAGACGATGCTTAGTGAGGTTGAGAAGCGATTAGGACAGGCTGCACGATCCCCTGGCGAGTCTCCTGTGTCTAAATTGAGCCCCATCGTGAAGAAGAGGTGGAAAGAGGCCAAGGACATGACCCTGACAAAGGAGCAGCAGGAACTTATTGCTCCCGATCACATAAAGAGCCAATTTGAACACTGGACTCTCCAAATGATGGAGGTAGACACTGTGGCTGCCCTTTTCCAGCAAGATTTCCGAACCCAATTTGCTGCTGCGGTGCTGGGTACCCCATACGCTGAGCCTACGCTTTGCATCAACGCGATCAGCGTGCTTCACCATCTCTCGGTGCACAGCTTGGCAGAGGATCAGTTTGGAAACGTGCACAGAGATGTGCCAAACATTATCCGAACCTGCACCTCAGTTATCAAGAAACTGGAGGCCTTCCGCCTGCAGTTCCCACTGCACTGGACTGATGTGTCGGGCAAGAGGATCAGCCCCGAGGTGGAAGAAGTTGTGGATGCTTTGAAGAATTCTCTGCAACAAGTGGTGGCCAAGTTCGAGCCTTACAGCAGCGACCTCAGACTGACACTGACTGATATTCGCTTGGCCAAGGAGGCTTCTGCGACTACAAAGAAGTCTGAGATGGCAGAAGTGGCGCGATAGGTCATATGATGTAAAACACAGGCATATCGGATAGGATATTAATGTATTATGATACCATTGTAACAATTTGGAACACGAGAAAAGCAATTGAGCAAATGTTTTATCCATGGATCTCTAATAATAGTATGTATAAATTACATACCTATGCACGGGAGCTTCACATATTGAAGCTAATGCAGTGCAATTAAAGATGGTGGGGCCGCAGTTGTACCGTATCAAAACACAGTACCCGTGCTCAAAACGCACTGTAGCTTCAAGGGTCCTCACCAACTGCCAACCTCTTTCTATCCAACTCTGGTTACATGAATCGCATCATCACCAAATAGGTCCGCCTTTTGGACATGCCATTCTCAACCCAACCCCCTCAACAACTACAGTGACACCACTTACTCACTGTATTAGCTTCATTCACTCGTTCAGCTTCTTCTTTAATCTAGTCATGTCCCACTCTCCATCCCTTTTCTTATTATACTCACGATCCCGGTCATAGCGCCCTTTGGTAGCATCGCATAGTATCGCAGCGCATTCGCAACTGCGGCTTTCTTGTGCCCATGGACTGGGAATATGGCGTCTCCCGTTTCTCATCGACGGCTTGTCGCCAGAATCGTCTATCGAACCCTCTACCTTCTTCTCTATGTCTGTCTTCTAGGACTGCTAATATCCACCCCTGCCGACGCCATTCATCGTTCGTTCCAAAATCGACAGCTCTACAACATCTGGATCGTGGCCGCCGCCTACGTTCTCGCCATTGTCATCATTTCCTTCGTCTTTATCACCCGTCTATATATTAACAAGACCGATCTTGGGTCGATACCGAAAGGATGGGTGCCAATCGAGAAGGGGGATCTTCGCTCGGCTGTCTATAAAGTAATCGCGCTGGGTCTTGGGCGAAGTGCATCGATCGCATACGAATCGCGCCCCAGGCTTCAAACAGACAATACGGCACCGGATGATGAAACTGTCGAAACAAGGGTTAAGCTGGGGTTTGATGGTCCCAGTGGTCCGGCGGAGGAATTGGTGGTTGTGATCCCTCGTAAAAAGCCCGTTTGGGGAGATATCGAACATTATGGATGGTCCTCACCCAACGCTCCCGATTTACCGAACCTCGAGTACGCCACTGTCTTATCAGAACTTCCTAACTTGATCGAGGGCAAGGCTTTGACTCTTGCACCTCCTGACCCGACCTCCGATACAAACCCGCCTTTGCTGGACCCAGACGCTGTAGCTCTTCTGCAGCGAACCGCCAATATGAGCCTGCGCGATTACGTAGTTCACCTGGCTGAGTTGGGGGTGATCGAGATGGATTCGACCACTATCGAATTTCTTTCGCACTACGAATACGCACGCTTCTCAAATCGACCAATTTCCAATGCTCAGTTTAAGGAGCTTATGCATCTTTTTGCCGAGATTCTTCGCGCCATGGAACCCCTAGATCCAGATCTTTTGGACGAGCAAGACGATACATCCTCACCCTCCACCGATGGCGATGACGATGCTAGATCCAGGCTGGGCACGTCTCGCAGTAACTTGGCTCCCTCAGACGCTAGCATCAGCAGCTCCGCTCGAATAAGGCGACAGCCATCCACGAATACCTGGAACGTTTATGAGACTGCTCCCAACAGCGTGAGGAGCGGATTTACAGGGCCAGGGTCCATATCACGAAGACTCAGCAATAATAGTCTTGCGAGAAGTCGGCGTCATTACCCCATGAGCCAACCATCAACCTCCAGCCTTCGCTCCAAGTCATCAGCTAGCTCAGGGTCTGTTATTCGACTTGCGACACGGCACGACTCGACAGACCTACCTTACGTCCTCAGCTTGAGAGATACAACGGCTAGCTATTAATGACTTGTTTTGGGGGTGCGGCGATTGGTTTGGCTCTTTACGTTTACGAATTTATGACCAAAAAGTATTATCACAGTTACAGGATAGAGAATGTGTAATTTCCTAATCTTAGTTAATTCTAGTATATATCTTCTAAATTATTTTTATATAAGACAGTAGCATATCAAATCCGCATGTTTCTTCAATCATCGTACCTTATGTTGCGAAAATGAACTCTCATGTTGAAGTCGAACTTCTCATCAGGGACATTCCATGGTGCCAGAAGTGATAAGATAAGCATCCGCATTTTTTGGCGCATGTGAAATTATTCTGCCAGAAACTCTCCACCAACCCCAAACATCACCAATCCTGGCAGTTGAAGCAATGATGAATTAACTCTCGCGACATCCCTAATTACTTCAAGGCACTCCTCTACAAGATCTTCTTCGGATTGCGCTCACTAGCATTATTACAGCTGATCGCGACAAAATATACAATGGCTCCTGAACACCCCCAACCTTTCCCCGTCGCAACAAACCGCGATGCCATCGCAAACACTCTTTCACTCCTCCTCGCCTCCAGGACGTCCATAGGAAAATCTATGCCTCTTACTCGTGATTTACCGCGCAAGAGACGCACTCTACCTGACGACAACGATGACGATATCACCCGTGGTGCACGACCAAACGAAGGATTAGGCTATGTTCCTGAGAAGAAAGACGTTCAAAAGTTTGCAAACTCAAAAGAGGAGAGAATTCTAAGGGGCAGATTAAACAGAGATTCCAAGGGCAATCTCAAGAAGAAGGCTGAGGAGAGTGAGAGTGAGGATGAAGCTGGACGAAGTGCACTAGGCAAAAGAAAGAGGCCTCGGAAGGAGAAGAAGGTTGAACCGGAGCCTGAATCTGAGAATCTGACTGCTCCTGTTACGCCTGAGGAAAAGGAGAAGTCCGAGAACGGGGGAGAGGCCGAGGTGGATGTGGATATGAGAGACGATGCAGCACAGGGTGAACCTAGCTTGGGCGATGGGCACAAAGAAAAGAAGCGAAAGAAGAAGAACAAGAAGAAGAACAAGAAGCAAAAGACAGCACCTGCGGTAGCACAGGCAGAGGCATAAGAACGTTTATATCAGTTTCATATCACGATACCCACCCAATACAGGCATGAAGAATTGACAGCATCTTTTAACAGAAAAGGGAGACAACAGGATCAAAATTTAACTTGCTTAGTCAGAATAATATTGTCTTCTGATGGTATATACCTGCACCAACCCATGCAACTCCTCCCAAGAATACAACTTCCATTTCTTAGGTGTGCCGAAATCTGCCCCCCCTTTCCTTTCGACAAGGACTAATCAATTCCATGGGATTAAACAAAATGCCCTCCATGGTATCCTGCTATGCTTTGCGCTTGTAATGAAGAGAGCCTCCGTGACCTTGTTCTAGCCAGCTATCCGATGTCCTCCTATACTCCAAGTAGGCGGTCTCTTCGCCATCAAAATCAAAAATGTGTTTATGGCCTAATGTAATGCCGATGAAGGGAAAGCAAGTGTCCATGTACAGAGCCCGTGTATGTGTATGTACGTATATGATGTGTTGAAGTTGGTCGCCCATAGTTCGGGGTTCAAGGTCCCACGGTTCAATCAGGGTTAAATATGTGATTTACTGCATTCGCTTTCGCTTCCTGTCGTCGTCGCCTCGGGGGTCCTCATCCTCGTCTGATCGCTCCGCAGTGTCACTGGGGTTGAGAATATGAGCCATGCTCCCCCTTCGAGTAGGGGGGGCTGAGTGATCTTTCACGGCAAGGTTCTTATTCTCACGGCCAGCAGATCCCCACGACCAGCCACCGAATGTGTCGGAGCCACCACCACCGCCATTTGCAAATGGAGGTGGTGGCGTTGTTGGGCGTGAGTGAGGGTGTGTTTGGGACGCAGCTTGCAACGAGTATGTTGAAAATGAGTCTCTGATCCGTTGGTCTTCTGGGGCTACACGGCTAGGCGAGGGGGGCCATGCTCCAGAGGGTGCGCCAGTACTGAAGGGAGAGGGAGCTGGTTGCCAGCCATGGGCTCGAATATCGGCTGCAGTGTGACGACGGGCCAGACTGCCGGGGCCGGGAACGGTTTCAACATTGGATAGAGGATGAGGAGCAGGAGGGGGTGGAGGCGGTCCTGTGCGTAGCGGGGACGACTGCGTAGTACTGCTTCCGCTGATGGAGCCATATGGCCTGCGAGTGCTGCTAGATAGGTTGGAAGGAACTGGTGGTTTATAAAAATTCTGGCCGCGTGCGGGCGGGACGCCTAGAGCAGGGCCTCGTCTCTGGTCGTCCTGGGCAAGCTGTCTGGGTGATACTGGGGCGTTCTCGACATTTGCAAAATACTGTTGTCGGCCGGTATAAGGTGCCTCCTGGGGTAGCTCGTCGAGGGTCCGAAGCACTTCGGCCTGCCTTTGCATTTCGCCTTGTAGAATAATGACTTAAGTCAATGTTAGCTATTGTTCGCGTTTTCGTCTAGTAGTACACACCTTCACGAGAAATGGGACTCTCAGCCGGAACAAGAGACAGCATGTGTCTTGAAAGCTCCTGATTGAAGTGAAGAAGGCGATTCACAGTGTCCATTGCGGCTTGGCTCTTGACATGCATATAATGAGCTGCCTCTTCGCTCCTCTGCAGGCGATTACTCAAGTCGAAGAGCGTATGCTCAATATTGAGCATTCGAGCATCGGCGCTGTCTGGCGGGATAGGTACAGGCTCGGCCGGAGTGCCTGGCTGGGATGCTGCAGGCTTGGTATAGTTGCTCTCGCGGTGCACCAAGGCATGTCGACTAGCTCGACGCTTGATCTCACGTAGACCTACTAGGTCGCCACGCTTGAAGTTGCCATTGCCATGCTTGAATTCCCAGAGCGTTGTATCAGGATTTCCAGTGTGAAAAACATCGCGTTCTTTGCGCAAGTTAGCCAATGCGATTACTCGCAATTCGTGTATGCTCTACTACTCACCCTTGTGAAAACCATACATGTTCAGCTGTCTCACGAATGAAGAGATATTGGTATGTTTGAAATATTGACTGAACGGTATTAGTCGACTGCAAAGTAGCCAGTTTATGGATGTGTTGGACGCACGAGAGAACTTTTGAGAAGTCGGCCGAGGGCGACATAACGAAGCTTTCAGCGCTCGCAGACCATGAAATCAAGTGTTGGATGTTGGGATCTTCCAGCATACTGTCGCTACATTAGCAAGCTATCGTGAAAAGCTTGGCGGTGCGGTCTCACTTATAGAGCTTATGGATGAAGGCTGTCTGTACGATTTTAGGCTGGTGTACAGCAGCAGCAGCCGGCGGGGGCGCAGGCATGCTATTGGAGTTATTGTTTGCGACATTGTTGGAATCGGGAGCGGGAGAGTTCTTGGGTCGATCGTTAGATTTGCCGTTGGCATCGGAATCGGAGTTGTTGTTGCCATTAGAAGATGGGGCAGGTGATGTGATCTCCATGGGATCGCCGTTGCTTGGAGGAGACATCTTGATCGTGGGAGTTGGTATAGGAATAATGCGAGCACCCATTGACTCGCTATGGGGAATTGAATTCGAATGTGGGAAGGTCTCAGTCCTGACGGCCATGTGCGCTGTAGCCATGATGATTAGTCGACAGGAAAGGTCATGTATGTACAGACGAGCCGGGATCAGGGTGGACAGTGCTTGCTATCTCTTGAAGAAACGAAAGATGCAAGGAGAAGCGAACAACAAGCGAGGACGGAAGGAAACGGGGTGGTTAAAGGATGGAGTACATAAGGTAGATGTAGGCAAGGAAAGTAAAGTAGGTAGGAGGGTGAACACAAGGCCGGCCGATGGGGGTGTGAAGAAATGAGGGTGTGTAGCGGCTAAACTTTGAGACGACAACGCAGGAAAGGAAAAGAGTAAAGTAAGGTAAAGCTTTGTAAAGGGAAGAAAACCCGGAGACAGAGACGGTATCGCGGATGCGAGACTGTGGATCACAAGCCGAGAGACAACGGGGGAGGAGGCGATGGAGAGTGGTAGCGGAGTCGGGACCGGAACCGATCTTGAAAGAGATATATGTATGTATGTACCATACATACTGTGCATGAGATCGGTAGGCAACTTGCGACGTGATGCGATACAATGCGATCAATGGGCGCGGAATGGACTGTGCAGACACAACAGAGTGAAGTCTTTAAAGGCTTACCTCATTCTCAGGGCGCAAAAACGAGTCAGTGGTTGATGTCGCGCAGCGCAGCTCAACTCAGCCCAAGTCTGTTCAAGCGCTTCCCGGCGTTGGTAGGCGAAATGGGCAGTCCTGAGCTTGGAAAAGAGAAAGGTGACAGGAGAAGACAGGCGAACGAACGACAGAATGGGATGTGGTAATAGCCCAGACAAGAACGGCGATTTGCAGCTGGGCCCGCCAGGTTCTTCTTGGTCGTTGGTTGAATCAGTTAGACTGGCCAAGACCACAAGCTCTCAAACCCCAAGCCAAGTGCTTTAGGGAGGTCGGTCACTAAGGTTAGTGTTGGTTTTAGGTGACACCCTGGTTAGGATAGTTGCTGCTGATCAGCCTCGCATAGGGGCCTTTTCAGGGCTCTTGTCCACCTTCTAGAAGGCGGGGGGAGGGAAGCCGAGATTTGTCGCTGAGTCTATCTTGGCAGATGATAGGTTGCTCGGACAAAGGGCAAAACCACGGCAGGGACGTAAAGATAGACGAAACACTGGATAGATCCTTGATAGCGTTCGATACAGCTCGGCGATGCCGCGATGATCAAGTGTTTGGGCTGTCTTGATGAAGAAGTTTTAGTTAGGCTTGGTTCAACTCTGGAGTCGAAGCTGTCCCGTCCAGTAATACACAACTGACGAATCGTCGGGGCTACTGCTAGCAATGACACCTGCGTGGGAACAAGCGGGGAGAGCTCTTACTTCAGGACAGGGCCGAAAAAAAGATTGGCGAGTGGCGGTCGGAGTAGGCAAAGAAAGGGCTGAGCGCCAGAAAGCAGCTTCTGTGCACTGTGAAGGAACAGACGGGAATGTACCTGCTGGTGGGTAGTGAAAGTGGTTGCACGGGAGTTAAGGCAGGGAGCAAAGACACTCTAGCTAAACCCGAGTCAATGGTATTGTGTAAGGATAGGAAAGTTGCAAGGTACTGTTGACAGAATGTCTCGAAAAAGACAGAAAGAAAGACAGGAGGAGGAGAGGAGAGAAAGAAGCCTGGCAAGCTGCTGGCAGGACTGATTTCTTTTTCTGGAACTGCAAGGAATCCGATGCGATCAATATCAACTGGATCCATGCGCCGGGGTTGGAAATTTGGGGGCATGGCTAAGCAAGGAGTCCATGGAGATAGAATGGGGATGGGGATGACACTCATGGCTACCTACGGAGGAGAGTATGTAGGTTAGCCCAGCTGAGATCCAATCGAAAGCCATGAGTTGAGTCTCCAAGAGAAGCCCACCCACACCAACTCCAGCCTCTGACCTTCTGGGCACCCCCTCACCCGCATGAGCGTGCATCGATTGTTGCACCCTTTCCTTCAGACCCTTACCTCCAGATGTCCCACGCCCAGGAACGGAGTTTACAAAGTATGTACGGCAGCTTGGTTTCTAATGCTATCACCGTTTGGAACAAATTTTGACTGCAGTGACAAGCTGAAAGACAGACGTCTCACTTCTGCCAAATGCAGCCATCCATGGTTCTGGATCACTGCTCCAAGTAATGGCATAATCCATCATGGCCCCATCATTGGAATGAAGTTCCAGCGCCCAGGCTGAAGGAACTCATCAATCGTCTCAGTGCGACAACCAAGACTTTGACATGTCTAGTAGATGGAACAATGGTAGAAGCCGGTATAGCGCCGCCAAGATCAACACCCGCTTGCACAGTCCCCGAAATCTAGTGGCGGCTTCAGCGACAGATCTGGGATAAAGAACCCGTCAGAGAAAGTTGCTCCAAACGGTACCGGAGATGGTAAGATAAAGCTTACCTGAAGAAGGGCCCGGAACATTCAACATCCTTTGCTACGACGCCATGCCGCTTCTCACATACACGGTGTGGCAGCCTGGCGTCTGGAAACGCCGGGAGGCAAAGTGCGATGTGTGGCGCCCAGCCTCGATGGCCCGAAGAGGGTGTCTCAAGGGGCATCGACAATACCTGAAAAGAAAGAAAGAGGAAATTCAGGTATGTTGCAGCATTCAATAATGGCCGAGACCATTTTTTCTGCATCGGTAGATGCACCAGTGGATGCAGCAAATGTGCGTGTGGAAATGTTGAAGAAGATTATAAGGTGTGGCTCGTGACTGGGTGCTATGTTGATCGTCCCCATCAAAAGCTCGAAAGGTTTTCCTTTCTCTGTGCCTGAATCCGAGAGCCTCGTGGTCAAAAACCATAGGAAAAGCCTCAACGTTGCTGCATATAATGGGGCTCTGAGGGTCGATCATTTAGTCGGAAGCAAAACCGCGTTGCGAAATCGGAAATGTGGTGCATGATCATTGTCCATGCCATAAGAAGCAATAGCTCTGATGGTTCGTGATAGTGAACCAATACCAACATGTGGAAGACATCAATCGTCATTGGACATACAGAATGCTCTTCTGGCTCTGTGATAAACCACACGTCTTCATCATAATCCGTAATTACGGGATACAAGAAGCAGTAAGGAGTATCATCATCTCAGGTCAATCTTTGCTCGGACCCTCTGCTAGGTAGTTCTTAAGCATGACAGGGCTCCGCATGTGGTACCACGGTGAGGGTGATGTTGCAGCCCTTGATAGAAGTCCTCTCCAGGATCGCGAGATAGTGTATCGAAGAGACGAGATGGCGGGCGGGTTCTAGTAGTGAACCGGTTGGGTAAATGGGGAATGGATCTGAATCAACATGGACGGCCCGGATGACCCTGGATCAACAAGTCTCCCTGTTGGTTGACCCTTGTCCAGCTGGGTACAGTTTCCGCAAATGGTAACCGAAGAGTTTGTGTTGGTGGCTGACCGAATGAAAGGGGTTCTAATAATTGTGCATGTTGTATCAGAGCCTCTCCTCTCTGATGAATGACCTCTAGGGATGGATATCTTGGTGGTGTGCTTAGCTTTGCTCCGACTTTGACTTTGAACTTAACTAATGCAGGCACGGATAGATGTTAGAAACGGTCACATGATTCTCGTCTCATTCGAGGTTACTGTTATGCTCCTTCCCTTTCGTCGGGCCATGTGAGGTTCTTTTGTTCCTCTTGGCTTTATCATTGGAAGGTGCTAAACACTGGCTTCACTGAAAGTCCTCAAACAGTCTTTGATTTCCTAGCTGGGCAGGAGGCAGGAGCACTTTCTCTCCCAAAGTTGCCCAACCTATCAGATGCAAGACCTCTGTGTGCTCCGTGCTTTCCTGCCCGTGGTCCGGCTTCTACTCCGTGGCCCGTCGCCCGTGCGGCCGTGCCCCGTGCTTCCTTCCCGTTGTAAGGTACACCTACTTGGCTTGGTTGCTTCTCAACGCTAATATGAAACTCAGCCTTCACGTTCATTCAAAGGCCAGAGCGAGAGCGTGAGCTTACATCTCCACTTCCAACTCTCCTCCCAATGAAACATGCAAAGTTTACGAAGATACAGATACCGCTTCAGCATCCAATCACTTATGTTAGACCCGGCTCTTTAAGGTGAGGCGTTCAGGACTGATTCAAGCCCACAGAGTCAGAAATTACCTAGAGAAGCTATCCCTGCAGACAGCTTGTCGAAGTTATGACGATCCGCGAGCCACTTCAACTGTGATCAAGGACCTTAGCTCTCTCCGCTAGTCGAACCTTGGCGATGGCGTCTGTTGGCCTCAACAACCAAATCTATGGCTGCATCTCGGACAACTTCCCCTAGCTAGTATCCAGGCCAGGTCCACTGGTCCAGACGAAAAAAACACAAGCTAGGGGATCAAAGCGGGATCCAAAAAGCAAACTACCACGTTCTCTGTCAACGGCCGACCGTGACAGAGACTGACCGTTGCCTACAGCGTCTGGAACCTAGAACCCTGTCGTTTGACGGGTTCTAAGCTTCATTCTAAAAAACAAAACGGGCATTCAAATTTTCTTCGCATGTTCTCTTGAGGTTCCTTGAGTACCTTAACTATTCTCAGAATGACGCCTGATAAGTGGATTTTAATCCTCTCTTCTTGGAATAGGCTCACCTACGTTCCACAACTTGCTAAGCATGGGCAAACACCAGCAACACTCTAAGCACATCGCAATCGTTTGTTATACTGTGTTCTAGATCATCCCGATTGATCAGTTTCTCGTGTAACAGCTCCACAGTTCCAACAGGTTGGCATTTTAAGTTTGTTGTATGATGGGGGCACATGGGTCTTTGCGAATATCATCGACCGGCTTTTGAACAAATGCCGTCAATGCATCAGCTTTCCCCGCAACAGGTATGTAGCATCATCAACGGTTGAGCATAACCGAGCTGGCGATTTGCAAGATAATGATGACTCGTTCTCATTCAATTTCAATACTTACTACTCCGTACACTATGCTGTACAGTCCCGAAAACATTCCCGCCTCGGGCCCATGATCTCTAGCTTCGGTGATAGCGAGAGCCAGTGACAACCACGGAATGAAGAATTTTCAGCTTCAACGGGAAACCGAACTTGTGAACTCCAACTCC